TCGACGTCTCCTCCGACCAAGAGCACGACAAGGACTACTATGACGGTCTTCTTGACTTCAAGCGTGGCTCGGACTACATCACCGTGTCCAACAGCTACATCCACGACCACTGGAAGGCCTCGCTCGTCGGACACTCCAACAGCAACGAGGAGGAAGACAAGGGCAAGCTCCACATCACCTACGCCAACAACTACTGGCAGAACCTGAACTCGCGCGGTCCCTCAATCCGCTTCGGAACTGGTCACATCTACAACAACTACTACGAGAACGTCAGCGACGGCATCAACACCCGTATTGGTGCCCAGGTCCTCGTCGAGTCCAACACCTGGGTTGATGGCAAGAAGGCTCTCTACTCAACTGACGAGGGCTTTGCCGTTGAGCGCGACAACGACTTCGGCGGTGCTTCGTCTGACGCCGAGGAGGGTACTCTGACCAGCGTCGACTACGAGTATGACCTTCTTGGCCCGGATGCTGTTAAGGAGGCTGTTGTGGGAACTGCCGGGCAGACTCTTACTTTTTAAACGCTCCCTTTTGACATCCTTTTCTTCTCTCTTCGCTAGCCGCCTATAGGCCTTTGCAGCAGTGATAGCGTGTATATATAAACTACTATACTTAGTTCTTATCACGAATCAATCCATCAATCGGCCATATCTATACTATACTAACATATTTTACCATTTCATCGCCGCGTTGTATGTGTGTACAACCAATACAAACAAAGTTCGCCTCTTACCATGCATCAGCCCACCTATTTATATGAGGCAAGCCATCCCTAATGTACAGAACCCCTGGTAATCTTGTCAATCCAGTCAACTCCAGTCAAACAGAATCCGAGCATCCGAATCAGAAACACATAAATCCCAAACGCAGTCAGTCACGCCCAAACTAGATATCATAAGCATCAAACCTCCACGCCGCGTCTCTAGCCTCCCGGCTCTTCCGTAGCACCCACGGCATCGTCCACTCTTTCCACCGGCCCTCTAGAAACCCCATGTCGCGATGCGTCGCCCACATCCGCCTTGCAGCGGAAAAGGCGTCTTCGACGCGGCCCCGACGTACAGACTCGTATTTGGAGAAGATTGTGTGGAGGTCATCGTCGCGGTGGTGAGCGAGGATGCGGCAGAACATTATAGAGTCGTCGAGGGCGTAGGCGGCTGATTCGTCACGAGGGGGCATCTAGATATTATCATGAGTTTTATGCGGAGAAATTAAATTTGATTGGTCGGTTTGGGACTTACTGCGTGTGCTGCGTCGCCGAGTAAAATCACCCGACCCTTCCACCATCGGCCGCCTGGTCTGACTTGATAGACTGGATAAAGCATCCAGTTTGTTTTAAGGTTGGCAACGTCCCGGATCCAAGGGTTCCCGGAGTTTGCGAAGCGGGAACGGATCTCTGATTGGAGGGCTGCGTGGATGGCGATTCGCCTCCGAGGGTCTAGGTCTGGAGTATTTGGGGAAGGGGGGTCAATGCGGAACCGTGGGAGCAGTGACTCGTTAACCTGCAGTATGGCGGCGAGGAAGAGTATTGAGTGGTTTCGGTCGCAGAAACTTCCCAGAAGGTCGCCGTGGCGGGAAAGGGCGAGACCGCTGGTGGTGAAAGGTGGCGGGTGCATAGTTTGTTGTGTTTCTTCGGTAGAGAGGGCCGGGGTGGAAGGGTGAGATAGGTTGCTAACGCTCCGGGTAGTGCTTCTGTTTTTGCTGGAGGCGTGCGTGCTTTCGCTGGCACTAGTGCTGGGACGGCTGAAACTGGTTCTCACAGACGGAGACGGAGGGGGAGGAGGGGTTTCGATTGTTGTCTGGAGAAAGGACAAGCCAGTATATTCCGACGGACGGCTAGGGTCGACATATTGCGTGCGGAGGGCGGAGTGGACACCATCACATCCAAGAACAAGATCACCTGCAGCGGAGGTACCGTCTTCAAAGTGCAGGATGGTTTGGTCGTTGTGTTCCGTGACGCTTGTAAGCTTTTTGCTGTATACAATCCGGATGTTCGGGTGGCGTTCGACAACGGCCAACAACGCCAGAGAGAGGACAATCCGCATCACCCTGCGGCCCTTGTAACCGTCTATACCGTTACCGTCGCCATCTGTAAAATCAATTGAACCGAGCGGTCGTCCGGAGCGGCTCGAGAAGAGTTCAATTGCATCGACATCGGCACCACCGTCGGCACCTTGACGGTCGAGTTCGGAGAGGACGCCTAGTCGGTCGAGATGTCGTTGTGCAACTGGTGTGAGATTGATGGCACCGCCGGAGGTCGAGAGGACATCGTGACGCTCGAAAATGGTTATCTGGAGGTTAGGCTCGTGGGGTTTCAATTCCTTCGCTAGAGCCAGAGCACTAGCTATACCGGCAATACCCGCACCAACGATGAGGATCTTGCGCGTGCGTGGAGAGGGATCGGGGATGGAGAGAGGCAGGACATAGCCAGCCCAGGGATCATTCTCCTTGTTCAAATGCATGATCTACTAGCATAGTGTAGTGAAGGGTGAGGAGTGAAGACTTTTCAAAATCAAGGTTGCGTGAAGAAAATCGATTGAGTAGCAGGGATTAACGTAGCTAAGACTAGCGCCAGTATTTGTGGAGATTTCTCGGACCCAAGAGTCTTAGCGGCCGTTAGTTATTTAAGACACATCACACATCATCAATCATCAGCGGAGAAAAATACACGAATGACAGGAAGAGAATTCATTGCAGCGTCTCCTGGTGCGCCATCAACCGCCATTCAGCGTCCGATCCCTGGGCCCAGGTGGACGTCCCCGTCGCCACGTACTCCTCGCCGTTCTGCGACGCGCGGATTCGATAGGTAGCTATGCCCGCCATCAGATCTATCACAACCACCTGTACGTCCTGCAGGTCGTAGTCGTCGAATTTGTGGTACTTGTTGGCGAAAGTCTCGCCCAGCTCGTCCACGGTAATGATATCTTTCTTGGGGAAGAGAAAGACGGCGTTCGGATGCGACAGCCGTTCCAGTTCGGGTCTTGGATCGGCCGAAGTTATCGCGGTCCAAAGAGTGCGCTCCTGGGCGATGATCTCGGATTCGATGCGCTGGTGAATGGCCGGCATTTTTATAAAGGAAAATAATATGGAATAATATGGAGGGAAAGAAGCTTGAGGGTGGTCTTGTGCCGTGGGAGTAGCTGGTAGCGAGTCGGTATTTAAGCAGCGCCAACGATGACATCACAAGGCGCTGATCAACAATTTCCTCCATTTCCTTCGTTGTTTCTTTAAGCCACAGCAGGCCCTGCACCCCTGACGTCTTTGCTGCTATTATTATCATTGGGTATTACGAAATCCAATAATAAAACAATGCATATAGCCAAATGCCCTGCTGGACCTGTCTGCATATCGCAAATAGGTGACCTCATCATCATGCACGTGTTGAGGTCTATGCACTCCATGCAGCTTAATGTCCATGAAGTGACTTGCATACGGGCTGGTGCATATTATATTAGATGTCTTCGTATATGTGAAATTTTATATTAATGACTTGCATTCTGTGGGGAATATTATTGCCGCATTGAGGAGTTCGATAGTAACATAGTGTTCAGAAAGTATGGTTGTAAACACCACCTGTCAATGCCATTGTCATTTCGATATTCACCACAATGGAATTGTTATAAGGTACAAAAATTAAAAATATATTAACACAACGAATTTTTCCTTTGATCATGAACCAATTTCAAGATGACTCCTCTCAAGCTGTGGAAAGACCTCTCGCCCGAGGGAGTTCCCCTCAACTCTCCCGCTCCCAATGCAGCTCACATTCTCATCATTGGCAGCGGCGTTATTGGGCTTACAACAGCTTGGGTTCTTCTTGACAAGGGCTACAAAGTCACTATTGTCTCCAAGGAATGGGCCTCCTGGGGCGACAAGCAGCGTCTTACCTCGCAGATTGCCGGTGCCCTCTGGGAATTCCCTCCCGCTGTCTGTGGTCATCACACTGATACCATCTCTCTCATCAACTCGAATCGTTGGTGCATGGTCAGCTACGGAATCTGGGATGATATTGCCAAATCTTCATCGCTGTCTGCAGCTGTGGGTGTCCAGGTAAAGCCGGCGACATTCTTCACCACCCACCCTGTAGCCGAATCTCCATCCCTCCTCCAAAAACTAAACGAAATGAAAGCCAGCGGCGTCCGCGATGTCATCCATGACGCAGATCTCATCCGCAAATATGGCATCAACCCTGCCTATGGAGTCGTCGACGCTTTCGAATTTCTTGCCCCAGTCATCGACACCGACACCGGCATGGCCTGGCTCACCCAGCTCGTCGAGCAAAAGGGCGCAACCTTGATTACACAAACCATCACCAGGGATCTCTTCTCTCAAGAGGACCAAATCCGAAAGGACTATAACGCTGACGCCATCGTCAACGCTACAGGCCTAGACGCGCTCACCCTCGCGGGTGACCAAACATGCTACCCGATCCGTGGCGGTCTCATCCGAATCATCAACGACGGAACTGACTTCCCCAAGCTTACCACCGCAATGTCGATTCCTGCAGGAACCAGAACCAATGCCAGCAACGAGCCCGCGGCTTCGTCCAACGAAATCGTCTTCCTCGTGCCTCGAAATGATAACATCCTTGTGTTGGGCGGAATAACGGAGCCTCACGAGTGGGACCTGGACCTCACGCTGGACTCGCCCATCATCAAACGCATGCGGGCCCGCTGTGAGTCGTTTTTGCCTGCGCTGAAGAATGCGCGCGTGGATCCTAAATACCCTCTTGCGCAGGGCCTCAGGCCATTCCGCGGCAGAAATGTTCGTGTCGAGAGGGAGCTGCGCATGCAGGGTGGGAAGCCGAGCCGCATCGTCCATAGTTACGGGCATGGAGGAGCCGGATGGAGCCTTTCCTTTGGCTGCGCAGCAGACGTCCTGAAGTTGGTCGAAGGTGCGCTGCTCGATTTGACACCAATGTCTATGGATGATGTGTCAGTGTCAGAGAAGGCGAGGCTCTAAATTACTGTAGACAAGACTCCTGTCTAAGCAGGGCCTGCCAGGCAAGATGTACCTAGATTTTTCTATCAAAACCTCAGTATCAAGTAATTCCGGATTCCGTTATTTCATTATTGGCTGCTCACATCCTCTCTCTTTTATACGAAGTTACACAGCTCCCCTTCCTGTATAGTCCAGTATGCTACCCATCTCCCCCCCTTTCAAACTCTTATCCGCAAATTCCAACGCAGTGCCCGTAAACTTCTCAGTCAAAATCGGCCTGCAAAGTCCCCATCTTCTTCAACACTGCAATCGCGTCCCGCGACCAACTGACACAACTCTCCCCCTCAATCCCCTTTCTGGGTAACCCTATGCCACTGGACCTCTCCCTAACGCCCTCAGTGTCTCCCCATGCAGGGTCCAGCTTCCCCACGAAAACTCTCGCCATGATTTGAAACGCAATCACCGGATCAGGTGAACCCCGCTTCCGGAACCGCCAGCTCTCCTTCACCTCACCAGTGACCGGATCAGGGTACAGCGAGTCCGTGACATCGAAGAGCGTGTGCAAATCGGATGGAGGTTTTGGGGACTGGGATGCTGAAGTCGGGTGCAGCTTTATTCTTCGGCGAAATGAGGATGCCCCAGTGGTAAGCAGTGTGTCCAAGACAGGTGCGGTTCTCGCCCAGCGAGTTCTTGCCTCGTGCGTGCAACGTTATGAAGATGCAGGGTTTATTCCGGGGTCTCATCATCTCATTTGTGATTAAACATTAATGTGTTGTCTGGACTGTAGTATTCTGGATCTCGCTTGGTGTTGCCGCTTTAAAGGGCGCTAGATTAGTCCCATCTCCCACTCAACCCCACTCGATCTGGCTCGGATTCTCCCCGCGGACCACTCTCGGTGCCTGATTCCGGTAGGTTTGTTGCTCGATGTGCGGAGACGACTGGCTCTCCAGTATATTCAAACTTCCACCTTTCAACGAGCTGAGCAAAAAATGGTATAGCACCCACCATGCCTGCTAGGTGGAGGACCAAGTCGGGCTGTCTTACGTGTATGCCGGCCCCTCATCGCGCAGTTCCCCGTTGTTTTATCGTATGCTAACTTTTACCCCCAGGTCGCATGAGACGAAAGAAATGTGATGAAGAATCGCCGAAATGTCACTCATGCTGTCGCAATGGCCTAACCTGCATCTGGTCGCCGCAGGAAACGCCTGTGGATCGTCACCGCAATGCTCTTTCTACTCTAAATGATCATACCCCCTCTTTAAAGTACCCGCCCCCGTTTGGCGGCCCTTCCAGGGAGTCCCTGTTTCAGTATCTTGCGATGACCATGATACCGCAACTGTTGATTCCTGGGACTCCCTTGGATACTGGCAATGAGCTCATCCCTCTTGCAGCGCAATATCCTTGCCTCAGGGATTCCTTTCTAGCCTGTGCAACCCTATTTCTATCTCAGAGCAACGGCGTGCAAACCCTTCCGCATGCGTTGACGTACTACTCGGACGCCGTTCGTTATACTAGACGAATGATTGAAGAGTCGAAGGTAAAGGGTACAGAAGACTGGCTGCTCTTGCAGGCTTTGTTGCTTTGTATTTTCGAGGCAAGTACACCGACAACTTTCAAAGTCCAATGGAAAGTTAGTCTAATTATGAACAGCGTGCTCAATCTGGGCCATATTGCGAAGCCATGTCCCATTTACTCGGCGCATCAAGAATCATGGCACTTAAAGTGAGAAGTGCCACAGATCAATCAACCCCAACCAGTCCATTCCAGCAAATGTGCGCTGCCTCCTTGCTTTACCACGCTGCGACGACCGCTTTTCTCAGCCCGGACATTTCCCGACTACCAGAGGGCACTATATGGAATCAGCTGCAGCAGTTCATTGAACCCAGCTATACCTCACTCTTTGCTATCCCACCAACACTATGCCGACTCATACTTGAGATTTCTCGCCTCGCTCGTCGCACACCTTTAAATGACCACGACAAACAGCTAGCCAGTAGTCTGCACGATCAGCTACGACCTTACCTGCCTCTGCAGCTCACTCCAGATGAAGCCATCTGCAGCGAAGAAAACCACGATCACAAAGCGGAAGAAATCAAGAAAGCAGCACAACTATACGCACTGTCAGCTGATATTCTACTCCTAAAAACAACCAATCCACAGCTCGCAGCCAAAGACAGCCGAGTCCAGGCCCAAGTCAAGCAAATAATGAAAGTCCTGCAATCAGACGTGCAGGGAATCTTCTGGAACCAACATTACTCCTGGCCGTTTGCGATTCTCGGCTGTGTCGTGCAACGCGAGACAGAAATGCTATTCTTGCTAGGGAGATTGGGAACGCTATGGGAGAGATCTCGCTGGGGCGATATTCAACGCACAACTAACTTATTTCGAGCCATGCTCGATTTCAGGCGCCAGAATGCCCAGTTTGCGGGGTCGCTGCGGGATGAAAAGTCCGGAGCTTCTGATTGCCCTGAGCCGTTTGATATGTTACTCCGTACCGATTGGCTCTTGCAGTTCACAGGGTGATCCCTAAGGAATGAAATGGTGGAAACCCACTCTTAAAATACGGGACATAAGGTCGCGAGTACAATCAAAAAGAAGCCTCTACAAATTTGTGAACTAATTGATGGTGTCTCATTAACGTGACATGTTGCTACTTCTGTCACCTCTAAAGCTTCGCCATATTGAGAAATACTGTCTTGGCCTGAAGATATCCCATCAACGCCCCATGGCCCCCTTCATAACTACCATTTCCACTCTGCTTCCATCCTCCCAGAGGGACATCATACTCGGGCTGGTGGTTAGAGTTTATGGCCACGCCAGCAGCTTGCAACCATTTGGAGAGTCGCAGGGCGCGGGGGATATCTCGAGTATAGACACAGGAAGACAGCCCGTACTTGGACACATTAGCCAGCTGGATCGCCTCGTCTTCTGTATCAAACGCGCGAACGCAGAGGACAGGCCCGAAGATCTCCTCTTTCCAAACGTCTGAATCTAGCGGAGTATTCTTTAGGATGGTTGGGGTCACGAAACTCCCTCCGGCCGATGCTCCTCCAGTCAAGACTACGTCTCCTTGCGTTCCTTTTATCAGCGATAAAATGCGATCCTTCTGCCCTTTGTCGACAACTGGGCCCAGGAACGTATTGGCACTCTCGGGATCACCCGCTGCTTGCGCCAGTGCCTCAAATCGGCCTTTCAATTCCGTTATGAATTTCTCGAAAATCGAGCTGTGAACCAGCAGTCGCGACGGGGCCACGCAGATCTGGCCCGAGTGCACAAGGAAGCCCTGCGACGCATACTGCAGGGCGTTCTCCAAATCTGCATCTTCAAAGACGATTGATGGCGACTTCCCGCCTAGCTCCAGTGTCACTCGCTTGAGATTACTCTGCGCCGCAGCAACCTGTATCTTCTTCCCCGTCTCCAGGGATCCCGTGAAGCCGATTTTCTGAATATCCATGTGTGATGCGAGGTGTACCCCCGTCGCACCCTCTCCACTCAACAGATTGATCACTCCAGGCGGAAACCCAGCCTTGACGATTAACTCGCCAGTCTGGAGCGCGCCCAGCGGGGACTTCTCAGAGGACTTGAAGATAAAAGTATTACCGGCCGCAATGGCAGGCGCCGCCTTCATGGATAGGAAGAACAGACTCGCATTCCAAGCGCCGATACCAGCGCAGACGCCAAATGGATCGTACCGGACGATCTTGTAAACCCGGTCGTCGCCCTCGGGGACGAATTCCCCAGGAATTTTATCGCAGAACCCTGCATAATAGCGCCAGACCGCACCGAGGCCGCTTGTGATGGCTCGTGAAATGGCGATGGGGAGCCCAATTGAGAGTGTTTCGAGATGTGCTAGCTTGTCTGCATGCGAGTCCAGTAGATCGGCGAGGGCTAGCATGTGTTTGGCTCGCTCTTGTCCGGACATCTGGCCCCATGTATCCTGGAACGCGTGATTTGCGGCGTTTACTGCGTCGTCGACATCTTCTTTGCCGGCGCAATGGATTTTGTCGGTTATTAACTTGTTATCGTAGGGGTTGCGTACGGCGCAGTATGTTCCTGATTTGGCTGGCACGTACTATATAGATCAGTTGAGACTGGAATTGTTATTATATTTGCATTACCGTACCTCATTGTTAATGAACAATTTTCCGTTGAAATCTGGTAGAGTGGCCATGGTGAATGAGGGAAGCTGGTACTAAACAGAATAAGAGAGAACTGTAAGATATATCCGAGATTGACAAAGGAGGCCCGGTCCCTTTTTATGAGGTCGGCAAATGGCCCAGGCACAAGATCTCGCGAGCCCGTTCTCCAATGCCGATTCTCCAGACGAGACGGCGCAATGAGCCCTCATTTGATATGGATTTCCCCAGTTTCATCGGATATCTGGAGGGGGCCAGAACTTCAACCCTGTATCCCGGAGGGCGCGCGCAATGCATTCTGATTGGCTCAACGACAGCGTCGGACAACAATACCAAGAGAGCTGAGACTTAAATATCACACAACTCATCTTGCCCAGTCAAACCCCAAGTTGTGTCGCTTTTTCATACTTCGCTCTCTTTTTTTTTTCTTTCCTTGTTATTCTATTACTAGCATCAACGATCATCATGACCCTATCGGATACCCCCGGCAGCGCCATCTGCTCACTCGAAGAATTCCTCCAAGTGTCATACGACTACATCATTATCGGCGGTGGCACGGCCGGTCTCGCAGTAGCTGCTGGGCTCAGTGAAGACCCAGCTGTCAATGTGGGCGTGATTGAGGCCGGGAAAGACCAGACTCAGAATGAGTGCGTTTCAACGCCGGCCCTGTTTCCCAGAATTCTGGGTGTGCCGGAATATGACTGGATGCTGGCTACGGTTCCTCAGGTATTGATCCTTGGTTTACCTTGATTATTTGGATCTGTTTGTCTATTTGTTGTGATTATAATGCTGATTCCCCGTTAGGAAGGAAACCGCGGGAAAGTCCATGCGCTGACGCGTGGGAAAATGTTGGGAGGTTCGAGTGCTACAAACGGTGTTAGTAAACCTCCATCTCGTCCAAGTACCACGATAGATGCTAACATGAAGCCATAGATGATGTACGTCCGCGGCTCAAAGCAAGATTACGATGACTGGTCTGCCTTCGGGAAAGGGTGGTCATGGTCGTCCATGGCGCCCTATTTCCGGCGTCACGAAGGCTTCGACGATACCCCGGGTGGTGGTGTCTCGTCTGGCACCAACATCACTAACTACCAGTCGGGAAGTCATGGAAGGTTTGGACCCGTGCAGACCAGCTTCAATAACTGGAGGAGCCCAGTCGAAAGAAACTTCATCGAGGCCGGGAAACAGGCTTCGGGGATTGCAGGCCCACGAGATCCAGGTGGCGGCGACCACCTAGGGTTCTTTTCGTCTTTGACTACTATAGACAGAAAGGTGCGAAAGGGCACACGGAGCTATGCAGCCACCGCTTACTTGCTTCCCAACACTCGACGTCCAAATCTTCGGGTACTCACCGAAGCCCTAGCCATAAAGGTTATCTTGCAGGGCAATGTGGCTCGCGGGGTCCGCATCCACTGTGCCGGCCAAACGTACGATATCAAAGCTACAAGAGAAGTCATCCTGAGCTGCGGCACGTACAAGTCTCCCCAAATCTTGGAGCTCTCGGGGATTGGGGACCCTAAGATCCTCGCTCCAGCAGGAGTGCAGTGTACTATTTCCCTGCCGGGTGTGGGCGCGAGTCTACAGGATCACGTCTTGACCGCTGCTATATATGAATTGAAAGACGGCTTCTCGTCCTTCGACTCACTGCGCCATGCGCAAAATCTGCAGGAGCACCTAGACATGTATGCTAAGGATTCCACGGGCATCCTGGGGGCTGCTACCAGCGGCATGGGGTTCCTACCATACTCGAAGATGGTCAGTCCGGCAGAGTTGGAGCGAACATGCCAAAAAATTGTCGAAACCCCAGGGAAGACACCTTTCGAGGGGAAACAACTAGAGCAAGTCGTCAAGCAGCTCAAAAGCCCCATATCCGGCAATATCCAGTTCATTTTCATGCAAGGAACGATGAACGTCGAAGAAGTCGCCGGCGACCAGACCAAGTTCCAAAAACAGCTCAGCGAGAACGACCGCGACGGGTTCACAATCGTGTCTTGTGTCGAATATCCCGCATCCAGAGGCACTGTCCACATCACCAGCAGCGATCCAGCCAAAAACCCTGCCGTTGATCCAGCATTCCTCGGCCATTCCGCGGACGTTGATGTCCTCGCTACTGCTCTGGGCTTCTCTGATAAGATTGCGCAGTCGCCTGCCTTAAAGGACAATATTCACCGGCGCGCATATCCCTCGGAGCACGTCGATGTGCATGACCACGCCTCTGCGTCCGAGGCCGTCAGAGACTTTTGCTTAACTGAGTACCATCCGTGCGGGACGTGCGCTATCGGACAGGTGGTGGATGAGAGGCTGAAAGTTTATGGAGTACAGGGGCTGAGAGTCGTGGATGCCAGTGTTTTCCCAGGAAATGTGAGCGGCAACATCCTGTCCACGGTGTATGCAGTGGCTGAGAGAGCGGTGGATTTGATCAAGGAGGATGCAGTCAGGTTTCGGTCTGATCTGTGAGAATCAGCCTGCACCTAACCAATTCATATGTATCTACCACTTTGTACCAGCTTAGGCTCCATTCACATTTAAACATTTAAGAATGCCAGGGATTAACCTTAACAGCATTCCTGTGAAGCGTGGAATCCCTCAGATCGTCAAGGCCCCTGAGACTCGATAACGGCAACTGGGGGCACCAATCACAGCCACCGGCCATCGAGTGTCTTGCTCATTCGTGACCAAAAAGGTTATCTGATCCCTCGGGCTAGTCCTGATCCGGCGTCTCCCCGCATTGATCCTCGTTGCACGCACGCTTGACGTCGCATCAGCGTGCTCGATAAGCTCCGTCAATGTAACCCTTGGAGTCTTGTCGCTCTTGACTCCGGCAGGGAGAGTGGGGGAGGATGCCAGTGACGCCAGGCATCGAGGTCTCGATGATACGGGGTGCTGCTGCTCCCTGTCAGGCTCGTCTCCAGCAGTTATCTATCCCTTGCTTCATCCATTCTCTGACAACCACGCAGCACTCCCCGCTCTCCTCGTTCTCTCACCCTTGTCTGGCATACCCTGAGTGACCGGGTAGATAGCTAGATGGCTCAACAGGACATCGGTCACAAGGCTTCTGCTTCGTTGACGGCTGTGGACACGGCTATATCTAGTTCTTTGCCTGATGAAGATCCCAACAAGACTGGCCGCTATGCGCCCGGGGTCGTTGAGGATGTCGCCGGTGTCGTTGACCACAAGGCTGAGCGGGCGCTCTGTCGTCGATTCGATCTGCGGTTGATGCCTGTACTGGCTGTCATGTGTAAGTGATGCCGCTGCACACGGAGGACTACCTGCTAATACAATACAGACTTGTTTAACGCACTCGACAAGGGGAACCTTGGTAATGCAGAAACAGACCACATGAGCGACGGTAAGTAAATACTCTATCTTATACTGCAAAGTTCATTACTGACTAGTTAGACCTCAACTTCAAACCGGGGCAGTACAACTTGCTGCTGTCTATCTTCTTCATCCCATAT